AATAAAACGAAAATTACCGTTACTAGAATCCAAACGCATTTAAATAAATCTTTGCAGACAGCTTTTTATAAAATACTTATTGTATTTCAACCAATTCTTTAGTATTTTATCTAACCGTTTTACTTAAGTTTCATAAAACGAAAATTTCCGTTACTAGAATCCGAAAACTCACTTAAGTAAATCTTTGCAGAAAGCTTTTTATAACATTCTTATTGTATATCATTTCAACCAATTCTTGAGTATTTTATCTAACCGTTTTACTTCTGTTTCATAAAACGAAAATTTCCGTTACTAGAATCCGAAAACTCACTTAAATGAATCTTTGCAGAAAGCTTTTTATAAAATTCTTATTGTATATAATTTCAACCAATTCTTGAGTATTTTATCTAACCGTTTTACTTTTGTTTCATAAAACGAAAATTTCCGTTATTAGAATCCAAAAACTCACTTAAAATAAATCTTTACAGACAGTTTTTTATAAAATTCTTATTGTATATAAGTTCAACCAATTCGTTAGTATTTTATCTAACCGTTTTACTTATGTTTCTTAAAACGAAAATTTCCGTTACTAGAATCCAAAAACTCACTTAAATAAATCTTTGCAGAAAGCTTTTTATAAAAATCTTATTGTACAACCATTTCTTTAGTGATTTATCCAACAATTTTACTAGTGTTTTATAAAACCAAAACTTTCCGTCACTAGAATCCAAGCTCATTTAATAAATCTCTGCAGATTGTTATAAAATTCCCATGGGATAATGTTTTCGTGTCGTGACATTTAAGTACAAAAAAAATATACATAAGTAAATAAAATAATGTTCTGTGCGTTACATCAGCTGCATAAGCTCTAATACACGTACCTGATTTTAACTCTTTTTTTTTTCCCCAACCATCTGCTTTATTGTCTAATCCTATTGTGCCTGCTTTTCCATGCTAATTATCATTCCGAACGGACCCCCCTGCTTTTAAAAGAGATCTTATTGACTACGTTTTCCGTTGTGTGCTTAATTGATTTGGCTTCGTTTTCATCGATTAGTTTCAACGTTCTTCTATTTTAAACACCGTGCAATTCTAGGAACGTGAGGTTGATGCGTGCTGTCAAAAATGTTGCTTTAAATAATCTGGATTTTGAACTAGTATGTCACGTGCTTTGTTTTAGGTTCGCTTTTTCAAAGTGCTATTCGCGATCGCAACGCTCGAGTACGCCGTCTAGCGGGAGCCTGTAAATATCAGACATTAATTTATCACGTTTTCATNGGTATGCGTCTCATACAACAACGCCCCCTATAGTTCGTTGCGATCGCGAATAGTTTCACTTCTAGGTCTTCTAAATTTGTTTTTATATTTCTGATTAAATTATTTATTTTTATTTAGCGATATTAATATAGTTTTGAAAAGATACCTATTTGTTTTTATAAACATATATTTGGACATGATGCGGCACAGATTCACTCGGGCAATTATTATAACCAAATAATTTACCAAAACATAGAATATTTAATAATAAAAAAAAGGAAATAAATTATATAGGAATCACCTAGATTTCGCTTAGTTTGACAAACAATTTGATTGTTTTTACGCAGAATCGCAATAAACTACATCTTTTAAATGGAATGTTTTAAAAAGAAATTGAAAATTTTAGATTTACTTCCTTTTCATCTAAAAGTTGTATATATACATATCTATATATCTTACCACATTTACCAAATTTATCACGAATTATAAAGCCATATTTTATTGTTATTTTACCAATTTCATTACCAAAGCACTTCAATTAAAATTACCGAGGTTTTATTGTTGTCATAGAGTCAGAAACACGGTAAATTTTTCCATATTTTGGTATTTTTTATAATGCTTTTTTTTTAGAGTGTACATGCATGAGGTTTAGTTAGGGCAAATACATTTTCCTGTGAGATAAGCTACACACAATGTGCAAAAGTTTCATGTTTCTCTTAAAGCAATGAATTTTTGAAACATTCTGCAAAAATATTCTTAAATCTCACCTTTTCGACTTAATTTATATTATCTGATGAAAATTTTTCTTAAATGCATGAATATCCAAATTAAATCAGCTAAACGAACTCAAGATGAGTGTTATCCAAGGAATAACATCCAATGTGTTGATCAAGTTACAAGATCATGTTGGTACAATTTTTTTAATTCAAAAAAAGAAAAAAAATTCTAAAATGTAGGGTTTAATTCATTCAAAAACTTATTTTAGTTGTTTACGTGTTGTTTATTTCTCGCAAAATTTATTGAATTATTACTTTTTGCATAAGTATTTGAATTAATATTTTTTGTATAAAGAAATTAAAATTGCTCCAAAGTTCAATATTCTATTCTACTTTGCGCATATTTTCTATTCTGCACAAGGCAATTTATTACGATTTCCGACATTTTCAACAAACTTTTCAGAATAATTTACAAAAGTAAATCTATTTTTGTTAATTATTTTTCCGACATAATGTAAGCCATAAATCTAGAGGGTAATTAATCTTAACGGGCTTCACCCAAACTATTGATTTTCGATTGATTTATGGTACTCTTCATTAGTCTAGTTTGCCGAGAAAGCCCTACGGGGATTCTTTGAATAGGTTTTAAGTTTATATTACAATAATTTTTTAACAATTTTTTTTATAGAATGCAGTTTTGAGAAGTCCTTTAACGATGTATGTCAAACTTTAAGAAACAAATTGCTTTCTTACGTCATGATAAAATGGTTTTATTTTACGTTTGATTAGAATTGGTTTAAAATAGATGATAAACAGAAAGATGAGTGAGTTTTTAGGAAGAAAATACTGCCTTAATTTTTATTTCTGAGTACGAGCAGCCTGTATTAAAATTAAAAAAATTGAAATTAGAAGTAAAAAATCGCTTTTCAAAACAGCATTTCAAGATATAAGGCGTATTATTTAGTTTTGTTTTGTCAACAATAGCTTTGTTTCTTTTCATCAAAAAATTAATATTAAAAATTTTTTGGAGCCATGAAATTCATTAAACTGGATGTTGATCACCAGTTAGGCCAAAAAGGATCCGTTGTCAACATACCCAATAACTTCCGTAGACTGTCTTCCACGCAATATAAATGATTCATTCACTATTCGTGTAAAATTTTAAAAAAAGGCAAACCTAGCTTTCAAATCATATTTCATGTATGAGCTTGTGAATTCGAAGCGGGTGTATGATGCAACTTACTATCTCCTTCAAACACCATTGTACCAATCCGAAAATGTTAATATTGATCTCGATTGGCTGTCTATTCAGTCATCAAAAAAATTTACCAGAATGTGTCTGAGCTGCATCCAAATATGTCTGCGAAATTGTGTACCGAGCTGTTCAGGATTAACAGTTATAGATGTCCAAGATGAAAACACAATTAATTTGCTTTTCCAAAAAAAATTAGACAACAACCAATTTGCCAGTGGGTAACCTGGGTTTCAGGAATTTATATTTTCTTTACACCAGGAAGAAAAATGCGTTCAAAATCCAGTAAAAAATAATTACAATGATTTAAAATTCTGTACTCTTTGAAAATATGCACAATTAATTACTAATAAACTATTTACTTCGTCGTAAAGTAGTCATTAAAAGTTCATTATTGCTCAGCCGCTTAATTTATTCTTACTTCGACACACGAGGTTAAGAATTTCGCCAACTTCCTGAAATACTTCCGATTCTCTGAATAACTGAAACAAAACTTTTCCTTTCCTTTTCAAGAAGATGAAGAGAAAGATCATGTCTGTAGGTGACGAAAAGTGTGAAACTCAGGCAATTACGAAACACTTACCCATTGTAACATGAAAGGGTGAGTGCGTGCCTTGAATGCGGAGGATGACTTATGTGCGTTGGTGCAAATTGGATAATTAAGTAACTAGTTTAACAGAATATGTTACACGTGAATGATTATTGAGAACATTTATAAATGTTTAATAACTCCCACGTTTTCATATTTTGCTCATATCGAAGGCTGATAATTTATGATTATTAAAGTTGTATTGCTATTCTTACTATGAAAAGTTATTTCATGCGCTAAAGTTTGATGAATGTATTTTTATAAAAAATTAACGGTTGGAATTTTATCTGTGTTTCCTTTTAATTACAAGCCTGCACTCCTTAAAAAAAACGGTGCAAGTTTGAGCTGTAATGTAGGTATACTTTATGTCAAAATATGTTGCAAATTTTCTGAAACTTTATAGTACTAAGTTGTGCTAAGTTAAATTATAGCACCATGGGATCAAATCTAAGAATATATGATTCAATACGTAAGGTGCTAAGTTGCACCATATAGTACCTCTGAGCGTTGGTGCAAATCGAATAATTAAATAATTACTTAACTGATTGTAACGTAATTAAATGCTTAATTAGAACATTTATGATTATTCAGTAAACTACGTGTTTGCGTAATTTGAAGGCGAATAATTTTTTTTGCTAGTGTGAAGTCTAATAAATCGTTCCTTTTTCAAATCATATCACCTTTGATTTCTAAAGAAGCATTGTGTACAGAACGCTCTAACGGATAAATTAGAAAGTTTATTTTTTTTTTCAAGTGGAGATCCACTCAGAAGAATTAAATCACTTGTATTTGTGTTAAGTTTTTATTTGCATTAATCGGTTTTACTAGTTTTTAATCTAATTTGTTAACATTCCGTGTAAGGATATAGCATTTCAAATTGAACTTATAATTTTTTTAGCCAATTTAGTCTTCTATGTTCTACTTGTTTCTTTGTTTAAACGCGTTACGTAGTTGCCTAATTCGCACCTCATATGCAGTCCTAAATCGTATCTGTACGATTTAGGGACAGCATTTCAACTTCAGCTGCTAATCGGTCTTAGTTTAAGAAATGTAAACTGTACTGCACTCAAGCGATCGAAATGTGACTGAGAACTTATTATGTTTCTATTGCATCAATCACTTTTTTTACATAATATTTTGCAATATTACTGTAAGCAATTGTTCGAATTCGCTTAGATCTTTATGGTTATTTTTACTTTTTTTTTAGGGTGGATTCGCTCGTGTACACGAGTTAACAGATCTGACCACAAACCAAGTATACGCTTGTAAAATCATTCCAAAGAGCAGATTAACCAAACCACATCAGAAGGAAAAAGTGAGTTCAGAACTTATTTTTCTTTTTCATTTTAATTTTTATAAAGAATTGAAATTATCAAGTATTTCCCGCTTCAAGTAATATATTGTAAATAATTTCAGATGAAATTATGTTAAAAAGCACCGGCTCTCCGGATGGCAGTACTTTTTTTTACCGCAAACCGATTCATTTTTTCTGCAAAATTTTACGGAACAAAAAATCTGATATACCGTAATTTTTTTACTGTAATATTTACAGTAAAATCACTGGATCACTGTAATTAAATAAATATTTCTGTAAAAACTAAGGTATAAAATTATCTGATAAAATGGATTTTACGTTAAAATGATGTGGATGTTGCATTCAAGGTGCCAGTATTTTTTACTGTCATTTGAGCCCGAAGTTTTCACAGCGTATGGTGGATTTGATACAGTAAAATTTACGGTAAAATCACTGTAATTAAATAAATATTTCTGTAAAAACTAGGGTACAAAATTATGTGGTAAAATGGATTTTACGTTAAAATGATGTGGATGTTGGATTCATGGTGCCAGTATTTTTAATCGTCATTTGAGCCGGAAGTTTTCACATCGTATGGTGATTTTGATACAGTAAAATTTACTGTAAAATCACTGAATCACTGTAATTAAATAAATATTTCTGTAAAACTTACGACATAAAATTACACGGTTAAATAGATTTTACGGTAAAGTGATGTGGATAATGCACTCAGGGTGCTAGTATTTTTTACCGTCATTTGATCCAGAAATTTTTACAGTGAGGTTGATTTTTTTACCTAAGTTAAAAAAAAATGAACTAATTTTATAGTTGAAAGTTAAATGTTACTAATCTGTTCATAAACATCTTTGAAATCTCTCAAAAAAATTTTAAATTTGCCGTTGTTTTAAATATATAAATATGAGGAGTTTCTATTATTAATTCTAATATCGAAGTTTTTATTATCAAATTAATTGAGACAGTTTAATTTTTCTAGTTTATTCATGTTTAAACATTGTTGGTCGAGCCTTAAAACATTGCCTGACGCAAATGTTTTTGTCTTTATTCAAATGGCACTGTAAGCCTATCATTAGGCAAGATGAATTTAACCAAATAATAAATATTAAGACATCTAATTTTGTCATTTACGCCGACGTTGGACGGTACAATTCAACATGACTTTGCCCCTTGTTATAATTCAATATATTCATGCTGGTAAATCAAAATAACGTTGTTTGATTTACATTAAACGTCAATAGACTTAAACTCAATTGAGATTTATGGAATGTGTATTTGGAGGAACCGAGATTGACTGTACGATACGAAAATGAATTGCATGTTAAATAATGCTATATAAATCTGATTCTACACTAATCAAATCAAGTATCTATGCACTAATCTACAGAGACGAAAACTAAAAGTCTTCAAGAGTTCATTGCTACTTAAAAATACACTGTAAAAATTCTGGATCAAATTACGTAAAAATACTGCCTCTGAGGGTACAGTACAGTTACAATTTCAATTACAGTACAATTATTACAGTACAGTACAGAGAGTAAAGTACAATTTTTACATTAATAATTACTATGAAATCACTGTAATTAATCACCATAAAATCACTCGACTTAAATTAATATTACTGTAAAAATTAAGGTATAATATTTTACGATTAAAAGAACTTTACGGATGAGGCCTCAAAATGCAAATACTTTTTACAGTAGTTTGATACGGATACAGTGAAGACATAATTCATTTGTCAATAAATTTAAGACAAAGCGTGAATTAAAGCTTATTAAAAATATTTCTCTATAAATATAGTGCTTTATGAGTTTGGTTCCACACTGTTCAAATATTTCTGGAGTCAATGGCAAAACATCTTCATGACTTAATTGCTACTTAAAGAAGACATACATAATGCAATGCATATAACGTCAAAGTATGAATTAAATCATAAATAGTTTCGAAAGAAAACAATTGCATCAATCAATTTTCACAGTATAATTTGAATTGGAGGTTTATTATCAGTTATAAGAAAATATTACCTGCAGTTATTAATTGTAAATGTCTCAGAAACAACTTTGAATTCCTGATTTGGGGATGCTCTTCGATTCTGAAGTTGAGTTGTTCAGAATGACTTCAGCATACTTAAATCTTGTTCTGTTTAGTATATTTTTTGGTTTCTAAGATTATGGAGAAGAATTATTCTCCATCCTTTGTTGGAGAAAAACTTACTGTTTCCACAACTAAAAAATGTGCTAAAAGAACAAAGTTTCATGATGTCGAAGACATTACGAACATCAGAATTGGAGAACAATCCAAAAGGGGACTAAAAAAGTCAGGTTGATGTTACTTCGAGGCATAATTAATGATTGTTCATGATGTGGTGTAAAAGTACACTGTAAAAAATTCTGAATCAAATTACGGTATAAAGTACTGGTTCTTTGGGTATATCAGCCGTAAAAAGCATTTAACCATTAAATCAATTTTTACCGTAACATCTATTTTTACCGTGAAATCCATTTTTGCCGTAAAATATTATGCTTTAATTTTTACTGTAATGTATGTTTAAGTTGAGTGATCCAGTGATCTTACGGTAATTATTAATGTAAAAATTACGGTAGATCAGATTTTATGTTCCGTAACATGTTCCGATAAATACGGTAAAAGGAACCTACACCCTGAGTGCAGTTGATTTTTACCGTAACTTGATCCAGAATTTTTCTCTTAACTGCATTTGTGCTTATGCTTTATTGGCATATGTTTAATATAACAAGTAGAACATGATATTATATAAGAACCTGGCATTTAAAGACGAGGAAACTGAATTAACCTGCATTGTAAAAAAATTTCGAATTAAATTACGATAAAAAGTACCTGCATTCTAAGTGCCGGTACTTTTTTACCGTAATTTGATCCGGAATTTCTTCCAGTGTAATGGATAAGTATGTATTTCACGTGGTATGTAATTGGTATGGGATGTAATTCCCTGGTAATATGTTTCACGTAATATTTTCAGGAGTTATTAACTAATTCCTGAAAATTCATAAGCGATCTTTGAAACAATTATTAAATAGAAAATTACTTATATGAAAATAAAATTACAGTTGAAAAATTTCGAGAAAAACTTTTACATTGGTTTCCTTACCAAAGAAACGATTCATTTTTCTCTGAAGATCTCTAACTACACATTTATTCTTCGAAATATCTGAAAGTGCTGGTCATTCAAAAATACGGTTATTGATCGCTGCTGAAATTACATCCATTTGAATGAGAAAGAGGCATCACCTGGACTTTTCTTTACTTTCTTTATGTAAAAGAAAATGGCTTTTTTTCTGACCAATGGAGCTATTTCTTATTTTGAAATCGTAATTGGACGTCTGCTTGTCTTCTTAAAGAAGACTTTTTCGTCTACAAGATGAATGTTCTTTCATTTTCTGAATGGTAATGATTCTAAAGTTGGAAATTGCTTTACAATGATCTGCTATTTAGTCTACAAAAATTTTTTATTAGTTTTAGATTGTCTTTATAGGGAATTATTTAAGATATGATTTACATAGTAAGTAAAATAAGTGTTCAATCCAAAAAATGATTACAGAACGCAATCGATACTATTTGCCAAAAAAAATTTTGATTGTTTTTTTACAAATCGTGCCAACCGGGCTGTAAGGTCGTTGGGGAGGTCACCTCCCGGCAGAAAGGTCCCGGGTTCGAACCCGCTTCAGCGTGGATGTAATTTCCTTCTCTCTGTTTTATCGGTATTTCTTATGCTGTTGGGATAACATTGATCCAACTATATGGGACCCACGAAAAAGAGATCAACGATGCTGTTAAGTACCACGATGCATATAGCTGCCTAGTTGCCAATTGTGGTGGGCATTGGAAATTTAAAAAAAATATTACATACTATGTTAAATGCAGTTGAAGCAATATGTGTTCTAATTACACAAATGTTTGTAAGATCTCACAATAACTTTTTTATTTAGTGGTTTTTTAAACAAATCAACTTAAAGCTGTTAGGTTCTAGATGTTAAAGAAAAACTCGAACTCAGATTAAATTTTTAAGACCAGAATCCTTAATTACCAGCCTTAATTAATTACTATTCACAGTAAAATAAAATTACCAAGATATACAGGAAGATGCTATCCGATTTAAAACATTCCTTTTAACCATCCATTTAATTTAGATTAAGCATTGAAACTCTTACCCTGCTTGTATATATTTTATCCTTAATATCCTCTGTGCTACTCTAGCTGTAACATTCCATTATACAAATTGAACACCCTGAAATGAGATCCATAGCTCAATGTCAGGATATAAATTCACGTGTTGACGCAACTATTAATCTTTGTTGCAGATCCTGAGAGAGATCGATCTTCACCAGAAACTGAAGCACAAGAATATCGTCCGCTTCCAACATTTCTTCGAAGATGACCAGAATGTCTACATTATTCTCGAGAACTGCTCCAGAAAAGTGAGAAGAGTCGTTATTTATTTACTTTTGCTTTCTTCGTTTGCTGAATTCATTTTGCTTTTCTGAAATAATAGGAATTGTACTTTCTGTTTTACACCGAGAAAAAAAAGTATGGTTTAAACCAGCGCTTCCCAAATGGTGCTCCGCAACACAAAGAGTCACAGGAGTTCCGAGAATTTAAAATTTTTTAAACCATTAATAATTTCTGGAATTTGTAATTATATTTATATGTGAGCCGTGATGGTTCAGGGGATAGAGCATTCGCCTTCCAAAGAGGTTAACCGGGTTTGAATCCTAGCGATGGCTGATCTATACGAATTCCGCACTTCATTCCATGAATTATCTAATGCTGAGGATATTTTACGTTAGTACTATGGTAGGTGCGAGCCAGATGCGGAATTCGTATCGGCCATATATCGCTGGGATGTAAACTGGGCCACCTCATTGGAAGGCGAGCGCTTTGTCCCTTGAGCCACCACGACTCATTTTTCTCATTAATATATCATCAAAACAATTGGTAGTATTTCTCTGGTCAATATGTTCACAGCTGCTAATAAATTTAATTAATATATTTAGAGTTCCTCCAAGCAATGCTCTGTCATTTAGGGTTCTGTAGCCGTAAAAAAAATTGGAACCCCTGGTTTAAACTACCAGAATATGGTGAAAATTTACCGTGTTTCGGGCTCTATGGGAACGACAAAAATTTCGTAATTTTTACTGAAGTAATTACTTTTTACTTAAGTAATGATTTTGATAGTAAAATATGGTTTGTAAATATATGATAAAATTTGATAATTTTATTATGATTCTTTTGAACAGATTTTTTTCCCAACCCCGAAAAGAATCACGGGATCTGCAAAAATAAAATGCTAATTTTCAAATCTTTTAGGGGAAAAAATTTAAGAATTTAAATGAAGCCCTTCATGTGTATGATTTAAAATTTTGTCAATACAATTTAAATAATGTAGTACAAAATATTCTCCTTCACAACAAAAAGTTTCTTTTTCTTCCTTTTCTAATTATAATTAAAATTTCGCTCGTTTTAACATCATTCATGATGACTGATCTTTTGGTCAGATAATTGGTTACCTGCAAGTGACGTCATTTTTGGTAAATCGTGGCATTAGTCGATTCAGAAACCAATCTGTTTCGACACTTACGCATGACGTCGCTTACAGGCATCCAATTAAATCTGATTTAAATCAAATGATTGTGCATAATCACTTCACTTCTTCTCGATGTGCAAGTACCCGCTTGGCCTGTTTATTTCGTTTTTAAAGTTTAATTAATTTAATTAGTTAATTTAAAGTTAATAAGTTTTGTGATAAAGAAATTCATATATCTTATAATAACTTTATTTCGTTAGTAAGATAAATTGAGGTCACAATAAACTAAAAAGAAGACATATTTTGTCATTATAAGAATCTGAATTCATATAAAATCCGTGATTTAGCTCTTGAATAAACCATTTGTCATTTGGCGGAATTACATCTGTTACAAAAACATTTTTTCTTTGTCCTGAAAGTTATAACTTAAGAGCAATAAAAGTTTTTTTCATTTCCGTTCTACTATTCCAAATGTAATTACATGTTAAACAAGTGTTTGTAATAAAAAAGAAAAATCTTCGGAAAAAAGTGATGTACGAAACTAATGTTATTTGCATCGCTTAAATGTTCAGAGTTATACCCCAGAAATAAGCAAACATTTAATCAGCGAAATATAGATAGAGTTTTTTTTCGTCTTTAATTTGTTTTTCATATTTTAATACAAATTTTCAAAAGAGATAAGTGTTTGAAAAAGACAAATTTTTAGAAAAGATAAATCAATTATGAAATTCAATAATGAAATACTGTATGTTTTATTTGTTTTTCTTCAGAAAATTATTGTTAAAAGTGAGTTTTAAATGAATATTTTTCAGAAAAAATTTTTATCGTTAAAAAAATCTAGCTCTTATGATTCAGCATTGTAGAGTAAACTATTAATATAAATAAGCTTTAAATCAATAGTTTTCTAAAAAGGGAAACTCTTTAAAATCTCTTGTACTTTCAAGTTAGCATTATTTAGAAGACTATTATTACATATTGATTATGCATACTAAAACTTTGAGTAAGTTTAAAGTAAATTTTTTATTTATTTATTTTTAACGTTTTCTTCGACTAGTCAAAGCAGCATAACTCAAGAAATTCCTAAAAGTTCCGATAAAAATTATAAGTTTCGTCCTTGAGATTTGATAAAAAAAAAAAAAAAATGTTTTTTTCCTTAGTGGCAACCGTTTGTTTTTATAGAATTTTATTTTAGTTGTTCAATTAGTTTATTTAACACGATGCTTTTTTAAAGGTTATTTACTTTAAAACTTTACTAAACTTTACTTTAATTTTAAAAACATTTTATTGCTTCGCAAGGGTGGGCGCGAATAATTTCTCAGGGGGAAGGTGAAACCAAGAAAAATATTCATTACAATATTTCAGAAATTATGTAAAAGCAAATTTCATTCTGTTTGTACTTCTGAAAAATATTTTAACTGGTGTAGAACAAAATATTTTTACAAGTTACATTCCATAATTAAATTTCAGCTGCCGACTAACTAATTCAGCTGCCGAATATTTTTCTACGTAAAATATTTATATTTAAATCATTGTATTTAATAAATTTTTTATTATTCAGTTCTTTACTTAAGTAATATATAAGACACAATACGTGTTTTTGCTATAATAACACTGTTGGAAATTTCTCGGAAAAAAATGTTTAAATAACAATTTATTTAATAGTTAATTTACCATATTCAAACAAAACAGTCTAATAACTATAAATAAGATGTTATTCAATCTGTTAACTGTAAGAAAATCCTTTTATTAACAGCTTTCACCTAATACGGTTAAGCAACCAGAATTTTATCGCAGCTAGGGGCCACCTAAGGAAGTAACTTAGCTCCTTGCAACTAGGTACATATAATAGTCTCAAAACCGATAGAACGAGGGGTTTAAATCCCAACGTTGACACCAAAATATTTCATCCCCTCATTTCCACACATGAAGATTGTCCAGTCCTGCCCTCCCTTATTTGTGACCCTGGACTAGAATACGATACTCTCATTCACGCATAGATGGCAGCACCATAAAGCTGCTTAACAGAAAAATTGATAGTATGTCTCATCTCTCACGATATGGTGAGACAACCAGAAGAACTAAAACACATTCCGTGGTTCATTTGATAAAACACAACTCAACCAAATCTAACTCCAGTGCCCATTATCTAACAAAAGGCCTAGCTCCAATGTTCGGTTAATATTTCTTTACGATTTTGAAACAATATTGATTTTAAATGGTTAAAAATCGTATAGTTTTGTATTCATGGCTTTTTAACAAAGTTGTAAACGGTTTCAAAACCATGAAGGTTAAAAACATGTTTTTCACCTTAAACTTTACGATTAATTAGATGGCCTGACTGCTGCCAGCTATATTACTGTAATTTTAAAAGGAAAATTCTAACAGTAAAATTTATTCTGATTCTTGATTTGCCCAAAGAAGAAAGGAAAAAATAAAGAGCTAAATCGATAGATAAGATAATTTTAATTATATATTTTCAACTTAATTAAGATATTTACATTTTGTCAGTTTAATAATACCTAACACCTAACACTTATTAAGTTGTTTTTTTAAAACATCTTTTTAATTTTGTTATCAGATTTATTGTGAAGCTTAGTAGTTGACACGTGTCTTCTTTATACGTGATTCATAGCTCATAAAAGAATCGAAAAAAGAAAAATCTGAAAAAAGATGAATCGCTTCACTGAGTTTAAAGCAAACTTTTTATTTTATTTTTTTTGCATTTTCTTCGACTAGTCTAAGCAGCATCTTTCAAGCACTTTCTAGAAGTACTGAGGAAAAACTTAAATTACATCCTTGGGGTTAAATGCGAAAAAAAAAAATCTTAACTTCACTGTACTTCAGTTTAAGAAATGAGGACTTCTTCTTTGATATTAAAGTTCAAGGTCAGCTAGGGGGTCAGAGAATACCTTATGAATGAAAAGAGGTCCCAGCTGCCTTGCTAACTTGTTTTTCAGTTGACCCTCCGGCGATTTTACCTGAAGAATTTTTTTTAATAGAAATCTGTCAGAGGCAGATGTTGTGTTTAATTTTTTTTTCCTTTACTCCACTTAAATATTATCTTCAAACACAAAATATAGGGTGAGGCCCTTATAAGGTTGAATAGCTTCACAAACCTCAATTTCAGATTGAAAAGGCATTGTTATTAGCTTAGCTATTAGAAAATTTAACAAATTTAAATGTATGCCTTTATTTTTCTTCATTAAATTGTGCTTAAAGGCAATATCTAAATACAAAGATGAGACGTATAACAACAACAAATATGGTAACCGAGAAACAAAACCTTATTTTTATATAATATATATATACATATTAAATTAAAGTTTATATACATACACGCACACACAATTTATACAATGATTGAGTTCGATAACTACAAAGATAATATATTTGGTATTTAGAATAATGTTACAAATTGGAGATTTCTGATATTTTTTCTTTCTGACTACTAGTTAGGATGATTAATGCTTAATTGTCAAATAGTTAGAATGAATGATAAATAAATGGTTTTATAAGTAGAAGAGAATAATTTATCTTCCTAATCATTTACATAAGTAAAGCAGGGTGTTTACATATTTGTATGTGTGTTTGTCTTTGCACATTATACAAATCTGCAATTCTATACAGATCTGCGCCTAATTCGGTGTACATCACTCAGAAATAAGAAAGATTTAAAAAAAAATGGATTGCCCTGAATAACTTGTGATCTAATAATCGGACTTCACCTTCTCGGGCTCAATCTTAATGACTTGAGGTGGTGACCTCAAATATGCTACTTAATGAGTGCAGACGATATTTTAAGTTACTCAATCAGATATACAAATATATTGTAATATAATACATGGCCGAGTTTGAATATTATGGGTTAATATTAAGGGGGGATATGGGACCATG